GAACAGTTCTTCTGAACATGGCATCTTTTGCCTACTTCTTGCTGCCAGAGACTTGACAGCGCTTCTTCTCACAAATCTGAACCACATTTGGCTTTAGAGCGGAAGCAGTTGAGACCCTCAGTATGGCTTGAAGATGATCATCATTAAGTCTAGACCTGTCTAGACTCACTCAAAACTTCCATTCCCTCACCTAAAAAAAAGGCGTATATATGTATAAATAAAACACCCCCACCCCACTCCAGTCACATCAGTCTGTACCAGTCTGTATCTACCTATAATATATATAAGATGCAGGCTGTAGGTAGGTAGGTGGCAGGCTGCAGATAGGTAGCTAAGTGGCAGGCAGGGGCGGGAACAGCTTACCTTGGTTCTGGCCGGCGCGAGTTCCCTTTAAGTTCCCCTTTAAGTTCCACTTCCCGCCCGTCACAGCGTCTAACAAAGGGGCGGGGTGCGTGGTGATGTCACTGGCATCCCCGCCCCTTTGTTTACACGGCGGGCGGGGAATGCCAGTGCGCGCTGTGTACGGATGGAATCAGCGCTCCCCGCTCCGCTGATTCTGTCAGTGTACAGCGGTCGGCGCGGGCCACAAAATATTGCACTGAGGGCCGCAAATGGCCCGCGGGCCGCGAGTTTGAGACCCCTGATCTAAAGGATGTCTGACGTTTATGTTTAGATATTGTTCAGAATTATATGCACGAACCCCACATGGAAATTTTCCTAGTCTATCTGTGTTTTAACCAATCAGGTTAGAACACCTGTATGTGTGACGCAGTTAATGACGTTATGTGTGAGTATAATTGTTATTGATTGGTGATTGTAAGCAGAGCGGCCTAGGAACTCATTGCGAGTGTTAAAGCTGGCTTCTGCGAATGAAACTGGAAACTATCTTCAGTAAACTTGATTTATTTATTTAAATCTCTGATTCCAGCTCGTCTTCATCTACCAGACTGGTCATTCTTTGGGTCAAACCGTAAATCATCTCTACAATACAATCAAAACAATAGATATAATATTCTATATCAGGGTGTCCGCGGGTTCTTAAAAAGTATTAAATGTTCATCCAATTCACCTATAGCACATGTCTTTGGACTGCGGGATAAACCGGAGCACCCGGTCACAAGGAGAACATGCAAACTCCACACAGAAATGACAACTGACCCCGATTGGACAACCAGCGACCTCTTGCTGTGAGGTGACTGGGCTAACCACATGTAGCTACAGAGTGGCCAGTGTTAGGTGTGTGTGTGTGTTTGTGTGTATTTATATGTTTGTGTAAAGCCAAGACAGATGCTGCAGTGGATTCTCTAGGACGTGTCAGGAAGTGTGTGTTTAAGTGTGATTGAGCATATGTTTGTGCATGTGTGTGTGTTTACTCGAGAGCTAACAGGGATGCATGTGTGTGTATGTATTCTGAGCTCATGTAAGATCTCAGAGCAGTGTTTGCGCTGGTTTACCTGAGCCTCTCGCGCTGTCAAACACCTAATGGAAAGATTAACTGGCTGCAGCGCTTTAAGCTCCATCACTGAGCCCTATTGATTGCCATGACAAGCTGAAAATAGATCAAAATCTCGACTTGTAATTAAACTTTTAATGATCTGCTGGCTCATCGTTCACAGACTGACAATTACAGCAGAATCAATGTTATGTTTTAGAATAGCATTGTGTTGGAGACGCTGCAGCTCTTGGAGGAGTTCCAGTCATTCACTCACTGATGAGAGACTGAAGTTAATTAGATTAGAGAAAGCTGGACTTGCAGATCATGAGGAGGAGATGAAGCCGTCGCTCTCTGCTTGAGGTTTTTTGTTTGTCAATCTGACTTGTTGTTGTGATGCTTGTTTTTTATGGTCTTATAGTTTTTTTTAATTGTCAATCCGCAGTCTGTATCATTTACTCTTTTAAGGCTGTATCAGTGTTGTTAAATAACTCAAAGGTGAAATTTTCATGAACTATTTCGGTAGATTTTTAATGCAATTTTTCCATGGAAATTGAGGGAATATTTTTGTAAGGTTTATAATTACCATGAAATTCAAATTGACTTTTTTTGCAGTGTTTCAGATTTTAAAAAAAAAATTCTTCTGATTTTCTGGACTTCTGGAAGTCATTTCTAAAATGCCATAATATCAAAATAGTCAGTTCTTGTTTTTATGATATATTTATTTTAATTCTTCCTCCCCCCTAATTTTTCTAGACTTCTGGATTTGTGCAAATTTAGTTTTTTTATTGAAAGTTATTATTTTTTTTTTAATCACTTTTTTTGTTTAATTTGTTTTCTTCTAATATTCTGGACTTCTGGAAGTCATTTAAAAAGTACAATGAGATCAAAATGGTTAGTTCTTGTTTTTTTTCGAATTTTTTTTTCTAGATTTTTAGACTTCACTGTATTCGTGCAAATCAAGTGATTTTTTTGTAAGCTATTTTTAAGTTATTTTTATATTACCATTAAATCAAAATTGACAGCTTTTATTGAGTGTTTCAGATTTTGTCAAATTTCTGGATTTTTTTAAAAGTAGCATGACATCACAATTGACAATTCTTGTTTTTTTATGGAATATTTTTGAATGTAATTTTTTTAAAATTCTGGATTTACTCTAGATTTGTGCAAATTGAGGGATTTTTAAAAATATTTTTTTTTAATAGAAAGTTATTTTAAATTACTACAAAATCAAAATTTAGAGTTTTTATGTGTTAAAGATTTTTTTCTAATTCAGTTTTTTCTGGACAGTTTTTTTTTTGTAAGTAATTTTTTATTGAAAATTATTCCAAAATTACTATAAAAATAAAATGGACAGTTTTAATGGATTTAAGTTAAGTTTAATTAAGTTTTAGGGCTTACACTATGTACAGTTCCCTTGAACCGGGCCAAAGCACGCTTGTCCCCCCTCCCGTCTCCCCCAACGGCCCGCACTCACATTACATTCGGACCTGGGCACACTTACGTCATAGATGAACTGTTCAGTTTAACAGAAGAGAAGCACTCTCACTCAGCACAGTGGAGATTTCTTTAGTTATATCGTTTTAGTCGTTTGGGATGCCGTGACACACAGTCAGATATTTCGCTGAACAGATCCGCCACTTTTGGCGCTCATAAACAATAATAAAGCCCTCGTGCTGCAGAAATTAGGAGGTTTGCTGAAGGTGAGCAGCTTTCGTGCAGTGAGGGGTTTGCGTTTTTAATTAGCTGCGGCAGTTTGTGTTCATTGAACAGTAAGAATGATTAATTAATCCATATGAAACAGTCCCAAAAGTCAGGTCTCGCTTTCAGTTTCGGGCTTAGGCACGTTTTGCACTCACACTACAAGCGTACCGCGCCAAAACCCAAGTAAACCACGCTCAGAGCATTTCAGAGCACTTACACTTCTCAAACGATCCGGGAAACGGGCCTGGGCGTGGTTTGGATAGCATAGTGTGAGTAGGCCCTAAGTCTAATTAAAATGTAAACTTCTCAGAATATTTAAAATGTTAGTTTTCTTTTTCGTTAACTTTCTGGACTTTTTTGTTATTTTAAAGGTAGCATAAAATCAAAATTGACAATTCTTTTTTTTATGGAATATTTCAGAATTGTTTAACTTTTCTGGACTTCTGCATTTGTGCAAATTGAGTGTTTTTTTTTATTTTTTTTTATGGAAAGTTATCTTAAAATTACCATAAAATCAAAATGAACAGTTTTTACAGAGTTTTTCAGAATTTATCTAATTCTGTTTTTTATTTTCTTTTTATTTTCTGGACTCCTAGATGTGTGCAAATTGAGGGATTTTTCTTCACTTGTAGATTTCCTTTTTTTTTAAAGCTTTTTGTAAAAGGTTTGTCTGGTAATAACCTAAAACGTTCACATTTCTCAGTGTGTATGATATCAATTCAAAACGTAAGTAAAAATGCCTGTGAAGCATCTCTGGAGTAAAGGACTTCATGATTTTGCCAAGTGTGATGCGGCATCTATGTTGGTCCAGGAACATCATTTTTGTTGGAAAATATAATCCATACCTATTCCCCACCCTAAACTCAACCATAACTGTAAATTATTCCCAAAATCAGAGGTGAATAATAGTTAACTAATAAAACCTAACCGTAAGCCTAACCTAAACTTAACATAAACTGTAAACATATCCCTTAATTCTGATTGGCTGATTGGAATGTTGTTCCAGGATCAACACAGATGCTAATTTAGAATCATGTCCTACTGTACTTGGTGAAATCAGTTTGGCGTGCTAAAAATGTGGACTACATGTGGTTTAATATGTACAGACATTACTCTGTATTGTAATTTAGAAAGGTGTAATCTACATTCAGTTTATTTATCCATAATTTGATCAGTCCTTTGACATTCCTCTTTAATGGTTTTAGTGACTCCACATTTACTCATTTTGCAGACACTTTTATCCAAAGTACCTTACAAGTAAGAATAAAACAAGCATTCAAAACATAAGAGTTGCAGTATGTGAATGCTAAGTCTAAATAATTAGTATTTCATTTAATTATTCATAATTTTGAGGGCGAAGCAGTGGCGCAGGTAGTGCTGTCGCCTCACAGCAAGAAGGTCGCTGGGTCGCTGGTTCGAGCCTCGGCTCAGCTGGCGTTTCTGTGTGGAGTTTGCATGTTCTCACTGCGTAAAAACTTGCTGGATAAGTTGGCGGTTCATTCCGCTGTGGCGACCCTGTATTAATAAAGGGACTAAGCCGACAAGAAAATGAATCAATGAATGAATTTATTAATTTTTTTAAAACCGCATGGTCCTAATTTCCTCTCTCTCCAATCACATCCACTCACTAAAAGCTTGTTTACTAACATGAAGGCGGGATTAACCCATTAATCCCATGAGATCTACCAATAGCAAACCACATCCATGTAAACAGCTCCCTATTGGACCAAAACAAACCCCACCCTCGTTTTGACTTATTTGACAAGCAGTTTCACTAGGATTTACATCACAATACAGAAGCAGCAATGATCCCAACTTCAGTCTCATTTAATAACACAAAGATTTTTCTATATCTGCTCTTCAGGACCTTCTCACTCTTCTGATACTGGAGTGTTTCTTGTGGTAATAATGGCAGCGATGGTGTTCTGGGCCGGATCACTGTCTTTCGTCGGACTGGTCATCTTTCACCTCCTCTTTCTGCCTGTGGTCACGTCACAGACACCATCATCACCCCCAGACACCCCTGACCCGCAGCCTGAAGAGTGCCGGAGAAAAATGCACCCTGTTACCTCCTACACAGGTGGGTGTAAAATACCTCGCTCTGCCCTTTCCATCACTCGCATTTCAAGCCAAAGGTTAAAACCATAAGCTTTTAAATCATTTAGAAAAACTAGATTTGTGAGTGTTGCGTAGATGAACATTGACATTGCAGGCAGCTAAGATCTGAATTGTGGAGACATAATTTGTAAAATTGAATGTCTTTCTGTTGTATTCATATTGTGTATATCTCCAAAATAAATAACAAAAAGAAAAAAAGCCATGCGGCATCAACAGAGCTGTGAAGGGAGCGCTCCTTTGCTCGATCTCACACACACATACAGGCATGTAAACGCGCACAAACACCCTTTAAACTTGAAAAAAACTTAAAAACCTTTACTGTCTGCTGTGTCTTTAATATGTTATAAAGATTATTATGCGTTATTGTAACATCAAGGATCAAGCAAAGAAAGTCACTTATAAATTAAAACTTTATTATTTTATGCAGCAGCCGTACATTTAAAAGGGAAACATAAGGGTGATCATATGCAAAAAGACCCCAGCCTATAAGGCTAGATGTTTTCTTTCCCTTATTTATTTATTTATTTTATTGTGCGATCAGAAAACTGTCCGCCTCTCCTTTCACTGCTCCCCGAAGCCCCAGTTGGCCCTCTTTGGCCCAAGGTATTCGGCGGGCCGAAAAAGGCTGGCCGCTGGCCCCAAGAAAGCCCCGATTTGGCCTGATTACGCCCCAGAAGTGACAGTGGAAACGCGACTGGCCTTGGCTTGGCTTTAGGCGCGATAGTGGAAACGCAGCTAATCTATCTGAAATCAGAAAACATACAGGCCATGCGACGGTAATGGTCACACTGAACTCTCACCTACTGTTTAATGTACAGGAGAAGGCAAACTTATTAGCCCTCCTGTGTAATTCTTTTTCAAATGATGTTAAATAGAGCATTTTTCACAGGATTTCTTATATTTGTCTTTTGGAGAAGGTATTTTTTTTTATTTTAGCGTGGCCGGAAAAAAAGCTGTTTTATTTTTTTAATTACTTTTTAACATCAATATTATTAGCTCCCTTAAAAATATAGTCTTTAAATTATTAATAAAACATTTTAATGGCTTACATTTGTTAAAGACCTGTGCTGTGCAATTTTACTCTTTCTAAATTGTCCAGTTAATCAGATTAGAACTGTCTGCTTAGAAATCTGTCTGCAGTATTAATGAGCTGTTTCCAGCCCAGGGAACGTTTTAGGACTAGTTAACTGCCAGCAGCTTTGCCATTGGTATCTGTCTGTGTTTAACAGCTTTAACCATGTGCTGCCCAGATGTTAAAGGTTAACACAGCTGTGTGTTCTTTCAGGAATATCACACCCTGCTCTTTTAATATCACACTGCTAGTTTGTTAGCATACAAGGCTTAAAGGGAAGCTATTGTGCAAAAAACACCTTAGTATAGTGTTTAAACACAGACTCTAATATATCCAGCCTCTAATGGTTAAAATTAATTAATTCAATTTTTTATAATCAAACTTGATAGAAACAGAGGGGGAAAGCCCTGTCCATTGGTTACAATCTCTCCCTCTTTAGCATAAACAGCCCTGAGTGAGAAGCAGCCGTCCAATATTAGGGTTTTAACCTGCTGAAGATAATGTCAGAAACTAAAAGGATTATAAATGTGGAGTTTTAGGATGCACAAATCCACAGTATCAGCATTAACAACTTAGTGACTTTGTTGCTATATTAAGGCCCAATCCCAATCCTCCCCCTTAGCCGTTCCCACTTGTTTTGCGCGTTCCTGTAAAGGGGTAGGGGTGTATTGATTCTCTTTAGCTTGAAGGTGTAGGACTAAGAGGAAGGGCTAGATACCCCTTTGAACAGAGATTTTTCAGGACCACACGCAAAACCAAGGGTTTAAAACATTTCTCAGAAAACACCTGCCACAACATCAGGATAGCTGCACCTGGAAGTTAGGAGATCCACAAATTAGTATTTTTATCATTATTTTGAATGTTTACAACAAAAAAACATACCCCGCAGGCACAGGACGTCAATATGATGTCAGATTAACGTTGTACCCCAATGTCTTCAGGACATGTATTTTGGGCAGTTAATGCCACACATTTAAATCAACCAAAGATCACCGTCTACTGATGTTAGACTTTGACATTGTATGGATGTCACATTAAGACGTAAGGTGACGTTGGATTTTGGGTGGTTAATGCCACAAATTTAATCCAACCAAAGATCACCGTCTACTGACGTTAGACTTTGCTTTGTATGGACGTTACATTATGACATTTAGATGACATTGGGCTTTGGTTGGTAAATTCCACAACCTAAAACCAACCAAAGATTAACGTCTATTGCATACCTGTCAACCCTCCCGTTTTTCCCTGGATTCTCCTGTATTTTACAGTTCTATCCCGCTATCATCCCGTAAAGGTATTTTCATGTAAATCTCCCGTATTTTCAGTGTTTCTCTGAAGGGTGGCGAGAAACATTAAAGATTCGAGCCTCTATATATGCAACCTATACCGCCGAACCACCATTGGGGGCCCCTTGCTCTTAAATGTGAGTCTGCTCTGTGTTTTTGCTTTGTTTCGGCACAAAAACACTTTGAAATAAATATAAAAACGGCGGGATTCCCTTTCCTTTTCATTACAGGTGGCGTTACCCCTTCTATACAATTCTCAAAACAGTCATATAATGGTGCATGTCTGTCAGCTGACGCGCTCCATAGTGATAAATAGATGCTGTTTCCCAAACGGACTCTGTACACGTGATTTGAAGCGGAGCGAAAGTCTGGCTTTTGGGTGTGTGTTAAACAGACATACACATAATTAATAATAATATAAGGTATAAGGTATCCCTTATTATGGTGGGCATATCCCTTATTTTCACATCCCAATGTTGACAGGTATAGTCTACTGATGTTAGACTTTGTATGGACGTCACATTATGACGTTAAGATGACATTGGGTTTTGGTTAGTTAATGCCACAAATTTAAACCAATCAAAGATCACTGTTTACTGATGTTAGGCTTTGACGTTGTATGGACGTCACATTATGACGTTAAAAAGACGTTGGACTTTGGTCAGTTAATGCCACAACCTAAAACTAACCTAAGATCAACGTCTACTGATGTTAAACTGATGTTGTATGGCCGTCTTATTATGACGTCATTTGACGTAAAACTTAATTAACGTAATGTGTGACGTAATCTAGTGACATTTAGCGAGCTTAGCACCTTTTCATTGAAAATAGTTGGCAGTACTGAACACCATAGTCTCCATAGACTCCACCCTCTTTTGAAAAGAGCACAAATTCATTTGAATTTAAAGCGACAGTCACCAATTTGGCAACAGCACAATTTGGGTCAAAACCTAAAAGGGTCAGTTTCAAAGAGTTATAAACATTATCTGTGTGGTATTTTGAGCTGAAACTTCACACACATACTGGGGACATCAGAGGCCTATTTTACATCTTGAAAAAAGGGGCATAATAGGCCAACTTTAAATATTGTCTGCACTAGTAGACTCTGTTTCTACACTTAAAAACATTTTAAACACACTAATGAGGGTTTTGCCCATAGAATTAGGTGCAGGAAGATTTTTCTTCTTGAAATGGCAGAAATTGAGGGTGTGTTTGTCTGTTTTTGGGTGATAACGACTCTGATTTACAGCAAAGCTTGCTTCAGCACTGTTCAGAGAACTTAATAGGCTTCACACACAATGTTTCTTGTCTTTATTCTTGCTGCTCCTGTCTGATTATTTCATCATTAGTGGCGGTTTTCACTTACGGTGGCTGCTAAAAAGGATTTAGACACTCAAGTTAGACTTTCTAAATCTGCCGTAAGCAATTTGATGTGTTCTGCACTACACTTCCACTCCACTTAAAGGAACAGTTCACCCCTAAAAATCAAAATAGAGTTGTTGTTGATTCTCTCTGATGTTGGTTTAATGCCATATGTGTTACACAAAAAAATAAAATTAATCATCCACACAATGGGAATAACTAGCAACCAGCATTAAAATGTAAAAAAACACACAAAAGCATCACAGAAGGTTGTGTGTGACGAGTAATCAGTATCGGCTGGTGAAAGACAAAGCGAATGTTAATGTACTCTTTAACAGAAATTGTGCAAGCTCGTGAGACTCTTAGTGCAGAAATTCAAGTCAATGTGGTCTAAGGAAAAATCTAAATAAATAGAAACTCAATACAAATGCAATAATGTGCATCCGTCCAGCATGCATAGCTTTTGAGGTATTTTTAAGCATCGTGTTTCCTGTATTATTTATCTAGATTTATCAAAACAGTGATCATGTGTGCTTTTTCTGGCCGAGACTGAACTGCAGATCAGTTTGGAAGTTACAGCTTGAATTAAAATCAGGTTTGGTTTTAATTTTTGGGTGAACTGTCGCTTTAAGTCTGGTTTAAACTGCATTTATTGTTATGTAAAATCAGCTTATATTAGACAAGTATAGGAACAGTTCACTCAGTGAGCAGTGAGTTTACATCAGGGGTGTCCAAACCCGGTCCTGGAGGGCCGGTGTCCTGCTGAGTTTAACTTCAACTTGCTTCAACACACCTGCTAGCAAGTTTCTTGAATATCTAGTTAAGCTGCGGTCACACTGGGCTTTTCCTCCCATAGACTCCCATTCATACGCACGCGAATGTGTCAGACCGAAAACGCAGGGTCATGCGTCAAGTTTCACAGGTTGCTGCGGTGCAAAGTTCAAGCTTGGTGAACTCTGACCTGCGAAATCGCATCACTTGAGACCAACCGAGGATCAAAACATGACCTCTCTGGACAGAAATTTAAAACATAGAGCGATTGCTCGCTTTTTTAATGACTAATTATCTTGTTTATTCCCGCCCCTTTTCGCAGCGCCGCACGACAGAATTTGGCACAAACAAACTCTAGTGTGACAGTACCTTAAGAGCTTGATTAGCTGGTTTAGGTGGGTTTGATTAGGGTTGAAGCTAAACTCTCCAGGACACCGGCCCTCCAGCACAGAGTTTGGACACCCCTGGTTTACATAAACAACGGCACTTTCAACTAACGTTAACTATCAACAAATACTGTAATAAGTGAAGTTTTCCAAACTAATTTCGAGAGGTGCATGTGATAAGATTGACAGCAGCTGATCCCTATCACTAATAGCTAGCCAATCGGATTATTCCAAATTTAACATAAATATCCAGCCTATCTTCATTCCCTATCTTTATTTTGAAAGACCCCCATCAAGGATAGAGCGACACGTTTTCTCAATTGTACTGCTGCCTCACAGCAAGAAGGTCGGTGGTTCAAGAGCTGAGCCAGTCAGCACTTTCTGTACAGAGTTTACATGTTCTCACGGTTCTCTCCTGGGACAGCATGCCAAACCTGCCAACACAATTAAAGCATGATCTAAGTGTGAACTCTTGAAATGTTTTGTTTATCGTTTGTTCGCGTTAGTAAATGTATTATTAACATTAACTAATTCAACCTTATTGTAAAGTCTTACTAATACCGGTTTCTTTAATTATGATCATTAAATAAATTTAATAAAAATGTATTGCAAATAAAAAAAAATATATATATATTTTTTAAGTTAGTTATATTCTAAAAAATATCAATATCACAACCCTCAATAACAATATTGTATATTTTCCCTGTATCGAGCTGTCCTAATTCAAAGTTTCACGAAAATCTGCTTGTATTTCTTCACCTTGGGCCTGTGTTTGTGTAGAGTAAGTGTTGTTCTCTCATATGTGGCTGAAGCTGTGACTGGGCATCTGGTTTCATAAGCATCACACCTTATTAATGGTCAAGTGTGTGTGTGTGTGTGTGTGTGGGGGGTTTGGACATCCAGCCCTCGCTTTCAGCCTTCTCTTTCTCCATCACTCCCTGTGTGTTCCTCTTAAACAAAACACCATTTATTAAGTATCTTCAAACTTACAGCTGGAGATCACCTGGTTTCCAGCAACCATTTCTGCTTATAAATGCACATTGTTCATGTTTTTTCGCAAGGATGCATTAAACTGATCACACTTAACAGTAAGGACTTTTTTTTTTAAAGTAACAATTGATTTCTTTTCCCAAATACTAATAATCGATTGAGATAAATAAAGTTTTTCCACAAATATAGGATGCAGCACTGTTGTTTTCATTATTTATGATAATAGTAATTATTAGTGCTGGGAAAATATATAAAAAGATATAATTATCCATAATAAAAGTTTGTTTTGACATAAAATATACAGTAGTCAACATCTAAAGTTGATCAAATCCTTTTATCAAAGTTGTCCTAAAGCTACTGAACAACACCTATTCTTGTCTTGAGATGATTTTGAAAACCTTTTTTGATCCACTTCAAATGTTGAATACTGTATGTGTGTGTTATATATTCATTTATTCATTTTCCTTCAGCTTAGTCCCTTTATTCATCAGGGGTTGCCACAGCGGAATGACCCGCCAGCTTATTCAGCAAATTTTTTCACAGCGAATGCCCTTCCAGCTGCAACCCAGTACTGGTAAACATCCATACACATTCACACACATAGACTACTGCCAATGTAGTTTATCTAATTAACCTATAGCGCATGTATTTGGGTTGTGGGGGAGAACCGAAGCACACGGAGGAAACCCATGCCAACACGGGGAGAACATACAAACTCCATGTGTTATATATACAGTTGAAGTCAAAATTATTAGCCCCCCATTTAATTTTTTTTCTTTTTTAAACATTTCCCAAATGATGTTTAACAGAGCAAGGAAATTTTCACAGTATGTCTGATAATATTTTGTCTTCTAGAGAAAGTCTTATTTGTTTTATTTTGGCCAGAATAAAAGCAGTTTTAAATTTTTTAAAAACAATTTTAAGGTTCAAATTAATAGCCCCTTTGAGCTATATATTTTTTGATAGTTTACAGAACAAACCATCGTTATACAATGAATTGCCTAATTATGGTAATCTGCTTAGTTAACCTAATTAACCTAGTTAAGCCTTTAAATGTCACTTTAAGCTGTATAGAAGTGTCTTGAAACAAAACTACAAAACAAATTTGTAATATATATAATTTGTATCATATATATGTGTGTGTGTGTGTGTGTGTGTGTGTGTGTATGTGTGTTTGTGTAAAGTTTGTGTGTATGTGAGTGTGTGTTTGTGTAGTTTTTGAATGTATATGCGGTGTGTGTATTTTTGTATGTTTGTGTATATATATAAATAAACATCTTCTCAAATATATGCATGCTTGTGTGTATTTATATATATGGTCCCACTTTATATTGTGTCCTTAACTAATATGTACTTGCATCAAAAAAAAATAAATACAA